CAATCTATTGATCTCATATAATTTTAAAGTATTGTTTCCTCTACCAATCTACAATCCTTAACATATAAATAAAATGTATGGACAATTCGTGTTATATAGTCCACATATGAATGAAAGTATATACTATAAAATAATTACTTTTTAGAAAATAATAGAAAAATATAATGATATACTTGATGCTCTCAAAATGACATAATGTAACATAGATTGTCTACAAATGTCTACAAATACATATAACAAATAGTATTTGTAGACAATAAAATTACAAAAACATTTTTAAAATACCAGAGAACTACTAGAAGTGATAGGATATAAAATTTTACCAAAAGAAACTAATAAAATATTAATAAAAGCTTAAAGATTAGTTTGAGATTTTGTCAAAATATCATTTGTTTAAATTTTCCAAAATATCTGACATGTATTTGTTATTAATAATAATAAAATATAATATTTAAAAAAAATTTTAATCCATTTAAAATTAATCTGAAATTTTTTCGAATAACTTCATTAAATTCCTACAAGTCATCTCACACATATATGTATATTTCTACCTAATAAAATATTTTAAAAAATCTAATTTGAAATTTTAGAAAAGAATTTTAAATCTATTAAAAATTGATTTTTTAATTCTCATTTCTTTAAATTTTTTTCAAAACGATACACACTTTAGAAATAATTTGCTTACAGGTATTTCTGTAAAATAGGAAAAAAAAAGAGGCTTTTTAATTTGCAATCATAAGTGTACAAAGGGTCTCAATGTAACAATTAATACGTACAATATAAGTGATTTTGACCAAAAAAATTTTAGAATATATTTCAGAGAATTAAGATTATTATACCAGAGTCTCGATTTGATTATGTATGGCCCATAGAGAATAAAAATGATCGTAGAATAATGAATATATAATTATTGTTAGAAAATTATATATTATTGAAATCTGAAAGAAAATCTATTAGTAGATAATAGTAGAAATGATATAGAAAGGTACAAGCCTCTTGATTGTTCGAATAATTTCATATCTTCCATTTAAGATACATGACCACTATAGTTATCATTATCATGAGCAACATAGTTTTTTATATTTTAACACGTTCTCTACTAGATCATATTAATCGTAAAAAAAATATATTTCTAATCTTTGCGACTAAAAAATCTATTTTTTGTCGCAAACAATATTTTTGATTATTAAATATCTATCTTTAATATCTATAATGACGCTACAAACATTCAAAAAGAATAAATCATTGTCGCTCATATATAAATATCGCATAATAATAATTCATGACGACTTAATAGAGAATGTGTTAAAAATAAAATTATTTTTTTCTTATTGTGAATGTTATTAAAATAGTAACGATCGTTATTGCGTTTAAATGATTGACTATTAATATCTTAACATAAAAGAGATAAGAAAAGTGGAACAAAAAATTAAAGCTCAACATACTTTCTTAAATAAGAAATAACTTTTAATAAAAATAAATAATTATCCTATATCTCTTTTTGTAATATTAGAATATAATAATTTATAATATTAGTCGAATAATCTTCTCTAATGAATGTAAATATTTTTTGCGTTCGTAATACTACGAAGATAAGAAATAAGTATTTTAACAGGAATAAATAAAAAAAGTGTCAATAGGAGGCTTGTACACAATATGGCGGAGTTCTAATGTTCCTCACACGTGCATTCATGTGCGATAGCATTTAAATGTTTTTTTATGAAGAATCATAAGATCCCGTCATAAACACGACAGATTTTAGAAATTTTATGGATGTTACACGACTTATTCGTGATAAGGGCCTCATAGTGGATAACTCATATTTGTATTGTGAAAGTAGTTGCTGTTTTATGTAAGAAGAAACAATAAGAAAAAGAGTTATTGATATAAAAGCGCGATTCGATTAAAATGTCTATTGCAATGACCAACTTAATAGATTGCTCTATGTATTACGATATATTATTTCTTCTGCATTTATAACAAATAAACGATTTAAAAAATGTCTTGAAACGAATGTCTTATTAAATGAATAAATAAATAAAAATTTTGATAAAGTAAAGAAAATGATATTTAAACCTAAAAATTTTAAAAAAGAAATTTATTGACTCACCAAATAGAATTTCTTCATTCATTTTCTTTTCATTGTTTTTCTTGCATTAATTGAAAAATACACAAAATCCGTAAAGATATATGAACACATTATTTTATTAAATCGCACTTTTTTATTAGAAAACACTTAATATTTCACTTCAAAATCTTTCAAATTAGATGCATGATTTATGCATACAAATCGATGATGAAAGGAAACTAACAAGGAACAAATAATTACAAACATGCCATCTAGTGACGAATTTAAAAAATAGTTTCATGTGTTCAAACAGAAAAAAAATCTAAAATTCTATATATTTTTTTAAGATATAGTTCGATGTACTAAGATTTAGGATTAAAATAATACTTACTTATTTAGAATAATAAAAATATTTTAAAAATAAAAATGAAAATTAATGATCAACTTAAACTGTCGAACACTATCTTTCTGAAATTACTCACCAGATGGTACTGATTTTCAATTCTTATTCTTTATCCTAATTTTAAAGAAATGTTTTTGACCATGGCTTCAATATTTAAAAAATGACATAAGGAATCAATTCTTATCTTATTTTTATCCTGTTTCAAATATTTATTTTCTTCGTTAATACTTGCTTTGAAAAATTTTTGCGAACAAGAATATCTTCATATTTGATTTTTTTATGGTGATTAAAAATTTTTTTAAAAAAACAGAATCTATTTGATTCCATTTTTATATTTTTTTTGTAAGTATATATACATTTTATATATTTTTATTTTTGCATATATCATATATATATATATATATATATATATATATATATATATATATATATAT